CACGCCTTTAATCCCAGCACTCGGGAGGCAGAGCCAGGCGGATCTCTGTGAGTTCGAGGCCAGCCTGGTCTCCAAAGCGAGTTCCAGGAAAGGTGCAAAGCTACACAGTGAAACCCTATCTTGAAAAAAGCAAAAAACACCACCAAAAAAAAAAAAACAAAAACCAACCAAACAAACAAACAAACAAACAAAAACCCAATCTAATGAACTAACACTATCACTGGCAATGTTCTAAGGTTTTAGTACATTTCTGTGGTCCTCATCAGATAATTTCAATATTTAAAGTAAGATATGTTAATCCTCAAATCATTTTTGTTTGCTCAGCTCATATAAATCACTCACAAAAATCCCAGGGGAGCGGTAAGGACTGAAGTTTATCTTTGACAGTTGTATCCCATCAGTGAACTAAGTCTTACTAGTGTGAGTAGGAACTGAACCAAGGCCTTGTACATGCTAAGCAATCACTGTAACCACTGAGCTGCATCTCTGGCCCTCAAGGATAGTTCACGTAACCAACGAGGCACAGAGCAAAAGAGTAAGCCATAGAAATTGAGCACACTTTCTTACTTTTGGTAGGACTCTGGTGGGAGGTTTCTGAGGTCCCTCTGTTGGCAAGCATTTTTCTGTTTTTGGTGGCAAAGAAGAACATATTTCAAAATCTGTGTGTCCCAAATCCTGTAAGTACTGGTACAGTGGAGAATTCTGAAAGAAACGAAATGAAGCAAATTTCAAGATCACTCATGTTTCAAAAGTTTTAGGATCAAATTCAGAGTCACACCTGAATATCAGCTCATGTCACACTTCTTATGGTTTCTCTTATGAAAACTGAAATGTAAAATGCAACAAATCAACCAACATGCAACAAAAAGACCCAAAAAGGAAAAGCTCTAAACAGACACACATTTTTTTGAGTGAACACTAGCAAGAAAAAATGAACTCAAAATTATAAATAGATTTAAGCAATTTTTAAATCCAAATTTTTGTTGTCTTTAAGTAGAACATTCCAAAACAGGCAGTGCTGGTTATTGATAACTAAGAGGGCCTAGAGGGAAACAGTTATTATTTAAAGCCAGGAATTAAATATAGCCATTATAATTCTACGTGTAATGTTATACACAACACTCTTATTACTTTATTTAGTACTAATATGCACATTTCATACCGTGCTTGACACTACAACGGACTCAAGTGACCTTAGGAAAGCTATCCCTCACACGTTAGAGAATGAAGCTCGGAGAGAGGCTGGTTTAAAATAAGCATGAGATCACAGTGGTAAGAACACAAACAACCTGCCATGGGAGTGATATCACACCCTCCATTCCCAGAACGAGGGAGGAGGAAAGGCAATCTACTTGTTAAGACCCTGTCTCACAACAGACAAATAAAAAAATCAAATCAACTCCGGAAGCAAAATTTAGGTTCATCAAATTCTAACTCTGACTGTCCCTAGCTAAGTCGTCTGTGGCAATTTACAAACCATGGATGCTCCGCTGTCTCACCTAAGACAAGATGCTTCCTTTTAATGCAGAGAGGTCTCAACATGGTGATACACGCCTTTACTCTCATTGCTTGGGAAGCAGAGGCACGTGGCGTTTTAAGCTAGCCTGGTCTACACAGTGAGACTTTGTCTCAAAAACCAAACCAAACCAAACCAGGGAAGACTTGGAGCAGTCCCTGACATGAACCTTTTTGTAAGTTATATGCAAAGGGTGTAGGTTAAGGAACAGACCCCTGGCCTGGCCCCAAGGGTTGTTATCAGTTTCCTCTAAGACTGAAACATCCTACCCTGCAGGGAAGCCCTTTAAGCAGGGAGGTAAACAGCTCAAAATACCTTCAGGAAGTTCTGAAACGGACCAAATTCACAAGGCCTCTCCCTGCCAGAGAGAGCAATAAAAGCGGCTACTCCTCAAAAGACTTCCAGATGAGCAAAGCTGTCAAGAACACCCTGGGACCAGACTGTGGGAGAAGCTGATGCCCCCCAAGATGTCTGGGAGAGGTTTAGACCACCTGAGGCACTGGGGAGCACAGCTCCAGCCTGCTGAGCTGCCTGCAGGCTGTGCAGTGTGCCCCAGGTTCCCGGGTTTGGGAGCTGTCACCCCTGCTGGGGTGGGCTTTGGTGGTGCAGCAGTCTGTGAGTCATTTCTGCTCCTGTAAGTAACTCCTCACCCCTGCTCCTGTAAGTAACTCCTCACACCTACTCCTGTAAGTGACCCCTCACCCCTACTCCTGTATGTGACTCCTCACCCCTACTCCTGTAAGTGACTCCTCACCCCTACTCCTGTAAACAACCCCTCACCCCTGCTCCTGTAAGTGACCCCTCACCCCTACTCCTGTAAGTGACCCCTCACCCCTACTCCTGTAAGTGACCCCTGACCCCTACTCCTGTAAGTGACCCCATAAAACTCACTGGGTCACCAACTTGGACTTGGGTGGTGTCTGTACTTTGGTCTGTTGTGGGCTCCCCATCTGGGCTGAGACATGCTTAGCATCTCCCCAGGAAAAGTCTTGTCACACCCCAATTCCATTAAGCAGAAACACCCTATTAGATGAAAATGTATTGAGAAACTTACCATGGATCAGTAGCAAAAGTTAATTTTAACCTTCCAACTTTTCTAAAGTAAAAATTGGGCAACATGTTTAAAAACAAAAAACAAAACAAAAGGGATGGCTCAGTGGTTAAGAGTACTTACTGCTCTTGCAGAGGACCTGAGTTTGATTTCCAGAACCCATACAACCATGTGTAGCCCAGTGTGAAGGAGCCAACAATCACATACATGAATACATGCAAAACATTCATATATATAAAGTAAAATAAAGAAATGACCAAACAAACTTGGAGGGGGTAGAGAGATGCTCAGCAGTTCAGAGCACTTGCGTTCTTGCAGAGGACCCAGCACCCACCATGGCAGCTTACAACTGTCCATAACTAACTCCAGGTCTTGGAGATCAGATCCCTCCTCTGACCTCCACAGGCACCAGGCATGCACTTGGTAAACAGACATCCATATAAAACACCCATACATACAAAATAAACAAATCTTTTTTTAAAGCCTTGATTCCATTCAGTGAAATACCCAAATCTTAAAATACAAACAAGAACACCAAAATCTCTTAGAAAATCTGTGTTAGAAACGGTCATAAAATAGAGCGGCCAAACTAAGGCAAGAAAGAAACTGACTCTCCAAAAATATCTAGTTTATTTAGAAATAGCAAAGGACTGCAATCAGGGGTGCTCATGTGCCATGACAGACACACTCAGAGGGCTGAAATCTGGGGTGCTCATGTGCCATGACAGACACACTCAGAGGGCTGAAATCTGGGGTGCTCATGTGCCATGGTGGACATACTGAAGAGGGTTGGGACAAGGAAGGGTTTTAAAGCCCAAAGGGCCACTGATTACAGGGGCTGAGGGAAGGGGCTAAGTTTTATTCACTGGAGCTCCTGGCTGTGGCTAGTGGAGGGTCTGCAGAGAATTGGCATAACCAGAAAACGTCAAGTTCGGGGGAAATCCTCTGTGACAGTGCCTGTTACCGTCACATATACATCAGGTACATGCAGGGACTCCAGGGAATGTTTTGCTTGGGCTGGGTGTAAGTGACTCGTGTTTGGAACAGACAACTGAGACAGAGCTAACTTTTGTGGCAAAATCTCAAGTATTTGACTTGTACCATCTCACCCTAAGTTCTAAGGGGCGTCCTCACTGTTAGTGTTACTCTTTCCTGGATGACAAGAGAGTCACTCAGCCAGAGAAATGGTACTGAGTAAATAATTTGACTACAAAGCCAGCACTATGAAACATTACAGTAAATGAATACTGAGAAACTCCTGAGCTGTCTAAATAAGTGGGTCACAACCTGTAGGTCAAACGACCCTTGTGAAAAAACCTAAGGCCATCAGAAAACACAGCTATTTACATTACGATTCATAACAGTAGCAAAATTACAGTAATGAAGTAGTAATGGAAATAATTTTATTGTTGGGGTCACCACGTGAGGAACTGTATTAAAGGGTCTCAGCAATAGGAAGGTTGAGATCTATGGAACTGTATTAAAGGGTCTCAGTAATAGGAAGGTTGAGATCTATGGAACTGTATTAAAGGGTCTCAGCAATAGGAAGGTTGAGATCTATTGGTCTAAATGAAAAAACACCAAAGAAGCTTACATATAGCTTTTTTCCAGAGAAAATAGACAATTACAGGATTGTGGGAGACCAGTTCCCACTTTTTCCCCAAGGTACTCTTGAGGAGTGAGGGATAAGAGATATTAGATAGAAATATAGAGGGGAGACGAGAGACAGATATAAACACAGGATAGCCTCGGGAGGGCCTGGATCATTATCCACCAGCCCCCTGTCTCTTCTAAAGGGTCTTTTATAGGAATGCCAAGGAGTGGAGCCAAAGACCTCCCCCTAGCACAGCCAAGTGCAAACCCTTCCAATCACCTGGCAACCATGCATGTGGTCAAGCAATCCTCTAATGCAGCCCTGCTGGGTAAAGCAAGCTCAGATCTCACTAGGAAACCTTTGTGGGCCTCCACACAGGAACATATGAGAATGTTATGGAAACAGGAGAGACACCTAACTTAGACTCAGGTTTTGGGGGGACTATAGCCTTGAGTTACCTATTTGATGAATTCAGTGTAAGAGACCAGGTATATGAGACAAATGCCTTCCTTTTAACTTCATTTTAAGAAAAATACTCTAAACAGTATAAGGAAAAATGTTCTTATCTCTATTTAATTTTTAAGTTTCTGATAGCACACAGGTTAATTTTCTCTGAGACAGGGGCTTTCTATTATAGCACTAGCTGGCAGGTCCAGAACTCACCATCTTCTTGCCTTGGCCTCCCCAGTGCTAGGGTTATGAGGATGGGCCATCACACTTAACTTCGAATTGTTAACTGACTTTTCAGGATTGCTGGTTTTGGAGACAGGGTCTCCTGTAGCCCAGCCTGGCCTGGATTTGCTATAGAGACAAGAAAGACCTTGGTCTTTTGACCCTCCTGCTGTTTCTGGTAGTTTGTGTGTGCTGAGGACAGAACCCAGGGCTTTGTGTGAAGCAAGCACTGTATCAACTGAGCTAACCCCCAGCTTCCAAATGGTTCATTTTAAAACCACCTATCACGTTTACTGAAATAATGCCTAGAATTATTCAATCTGTATTTTCAAGTTGAACCTTGAGCCCTACCCTGTTCTGCCTTTAGGGTGGCAAAAGAACATGAGCTCATTGGTTTGGCTCAACCTTCTGACAAGTTTACATACTAAAAAAACAAAACCCAAGCCCCAAACCCCAAACTTGCTTTTAGAACCCTCTCTTCACAGGAACTCCTAGGGGGGAGAATAATAAATAGGATGGATCAAAGTGAAGTTACTCAAGCTTTGCAGGCCACATGGTCTCTGCTAGAAGAATCAAGTCCACTGCTGCAGAAGACAAGCAGTCAGAGACAACTAGCACATGAACCCCAAGTGTGCTTACGACCCAGTAAAACTTTATACCCAGTGTAGAACGGAATTCCAATCAGCTTCATGTTACACAGTAGAATCATTTTGATATTTTCTGATAATTTACAAGGGGAAACGGAAACCATTCTTTGCACAGCAGCCATCACAGAAATTGAGGTGGGGTGAATCTGACCCAACAACCTTAATTTACTGCCTCCTTCTCCAATCATAGCCTCCAGTGGAACCAGGCACTCTTCTGAGAGG